CACACACACACACACACACACACACACACACACACACACACACACACACACTCACTCCATATTTCATACTGTTCTCTTCTATCTGATCCTCTCCCATCCCTTACCAGCCTGGCCGAGCTTCCCACAGGCCGTTTGATGTGCATGTGATCTGTTTACTCTGAGGCTATTAAATCAGTGGAAGTCTGTAAGACTGCTGTATTCAGCCGACCTGACAGATACAGATGGGAAACAAATTAAAGAGGAAAAACTGACACATATTTGTCTTAGTGAGGCATCGGTCCACCATATGTTACCAGAACAACTTACGTCTGCCTTGGAAGTCTGCAGAAGAGATCGATGTGATTCTTTAAGAGAGTCCTCTGACTGCAAACCCCCACATCTGAAGACCACCCATCAAACCCCCCAACTATCATATTATTAACCTCACTACTGTGCTAACATTTTTTGGACTTTCACTTTTTGGACTGAGTAAAAATGAAACTGAAAGAGCTATGTTGTTTCATTTTCTGTTAAAATGACTAATTTTTTTCTGCTCCCTTTCTTTCATCAAGACTTTTAGTTCAGATCAAAATATAAGTCGGATCTTTTTTTTTTCAAGGATGTTTTAATGGTAAATTTAAATTTGTTTGTGGCAGTCTGTACCCGTGTTGACACTTGGTCAACACTTGGTGGTTTCTCTTTCCAGTGAAGAGGTGGGTGGAGGCTGCCTGGAACAGTTGGCTTTATGACCCCCTTTTGGATAATTTCTTTTGGAATGAACTCAATGGAGACTTACTCTGTTAGTCCTGCTTTTCCTCAGTCAGAGAGCTGAAAGCTTTTAAATTATATTTTTCAGCTTGCCACTGCTTCTTCGGTGAATCTGAAAGGATGTGTCTGTTCTTCGACAAGGACACTAAGTTATTTTATCATATAGACTCTTTGTTAAAAAGCTGTTTGATAACTTTGTTTGTTCTTTACTCAGTTAGTCATAACCATGGATGTTCATTTGATCTCGCCAGGAACTCGCATGGCATCTGAGTATATTCTCACTTTATCAACCCATCATTATCACTCCTCAAAACTTTTAAGAAAAACTGTGAAGGGAATCTGTCCGTCCTTGCTCAGTGTTAGTGACTGCACATCCATAGAGTTTCCTGTTTTTATTCAGTGTTATTGACTGATTCATAAAGCCCAACACATACCAAAAATTTGCACTGTTGCAGTCGTGTTTATGTTCTCTCCCTTTATGCCTCTGTCAGTGTTTTCTTTTTTTTTTTTTTTTGCTTATTTCAGTTGTGTGTTTGTGTGATGTGTTTTCCACTGCCTGACCTGGTTTTGAGTCTTGTAACATTTCAACTGTATCTGAATGTTTCAACTATGTTTTGCAGATAGTCGTAGACGTTCTCTCCTGACCTTCACCATTCATACTGATGATGTTTTGTTCTTAATGTTTTCAAATTTGGATTCATCACTCCATAAGTTCTTGTGTAATTTGACATACCTCAACCTTTTTGCCTTGTTTCTCTTCCTTATTAATGGCTTCTTGACAGCCACCCTTCCACTGAGACCATTTCTGATGAGGCGTCAGTGAGCAATAGATCATCTGAAGGATCAGATGCATCTCTCAGGTGTTGTGTCAGGTCTTTGCTATACTTTTCCCCATTTCTTAATGACATCTGCTACAGATAGACTTTTAGCATGTCCCCTTCTTCTTTTGTCCTCCACTTTTTTAAGGACACACTGCACACTCAAAGGACACACTAAGGATATATCCCAAGTTTTCAGCTAACAGCTTTTTGGGAATCACCTTCTTGGTGCAAAAATGCTATTTTATCGCTCTCAAACTGTGTTATCTTTGGCATTTTTGTAGATTCAGCAAAAGTTTTGTGACTAAAGATAAAAAAAAATAAACTGGTACTTTGCTAAGTTGTTTGTTATGTGTAGAAACAACACTGGTTCATCCCTTGAGTCAGATGACTTTGTGTGTTTGAATGATTCATAGATCAGAGTTCACTGTCTTAGCAAACAAACACACAAACAAACAAAAAATATTCCTCTGAAAATGCTTAGGTACAAGGATTGGGCCAAAAATGAATGAAAAAGCAATCGGTGTCTAAACAAAAACTTATTTAGACACTGATTAGACCCTTCCTAAAGCCTGACGAACAATTCAAAATCACTTTAAACATATTATAGCGAAACACGATTCCCAAGAAACACAAAAAATCTAAAGCTTTCTAAATAAAATGTAAGAAATTAAAATAATAATAAAAATTATAAATTTGGGGATAGTTTCTTTTGAGTGTTTGGTCTCAGTTTTCTAAAGCAGATAGAAGTCTAATAAATTGTTTATTAAATAATGAGCTGAACCTCCTCAAGAAAGTGGGAAACAATGGTGAAATGTTGCAGGATGTTAAGGTCCAGCCTCGAGCTGCTCTCCCATTGGCCCTGCGGCGCACCACGTGGTAAGGCAGTCACGCGCTTTCCAGGAACCCGTCAGGAAGAAGAAAAACAAAACAAACCCGAGAGAGCTGTAACAGCGTGCGGACTCCATTGAAAAGGGAACGTTATTATCTCTAACACGGGACACACACGAGGTCCAACACCGAGAGAAACGTGTGTGGGGGCGTCCTCAAAGTGAGTACGACCGTTTTTCATCCGTTTCGGGGAAAGTTGGGCTTGGCAGCGGATGGGTGTTTTCATCGCCGCGGCGGATTAGCTTTGAAGCTAACTGTCGGTCGGTTGTTGTTGTGTATCGGGCTTCAGCTGGGATGAGGAAGGGGGCGGACGGAGGCCATACTGACTGAGGTTGCAGCTGAAAAGGAAGCGAGACTGTCCAGTTCCGCGTTAAAAACACAACCAGAAGGAATAAAACACGAGCTGTTTGGTTGTTGTTGTTTTTTCTTCTTTTCTGTTTTTTGGACCGCAGTTTGTTGAGCTCCTGTAGGAAGTGGAGAAATGTGGCTAGCTAATGCTTTACGACGAGCTCAGGTAAATTTCGATCACCGAGCCTAAAAACCTGTCCACAAAAGACAGACTGTTTAGCTGATGTAGTCCTCTAAGGTGTAGTGGGTCAGTTCCCAGAAGTGACTGATTCTGGATCAGCGTGGTCAAAAGTGTACTTATGTAAGAAGATTGGCTTGAACTCTACTTTAAAACTACCTACAGTCATCCTGCACGGCTTGGAATGCACTTAAAACTACACAGCATGCCTTTATATGTGTGGCAGAGCAATTGTAGACTGTGTGGAGGTGTATTTGTGGTAGGAAAAGCCTCGGTAGTCGCGTGAAACCCCTTCTACTGTGACTTTTTGCAGGCAGCCCGAAGTCTCGTTAAGGTACACGCCCCCCAATGCACAACACATCGAGAGCAGCTGGAAAAAAACTCGACACAGCCAGAAATTTCCATGTGGTTGAAGGCAAACAGCAGACTTATATTTTCACCGAGGAAATGGCCTTAGTGACGATTTATTAGTGTTATAATATTACTTTGGGTTTTCACCTTAATAACTGCTTTATAGTTTATCGTCTGGATTGGGCACTTAAACGTTTGATTCAGTGTTTCTTCTTCGATATAAATGACTAAACGTGCCCCAGATTGAGTCGTACTGCAGTGCTGCGTTGAGGTTTTGTGGTAGGTGGTGGATTTTACTTTAAATATCTGTGAAACACGGTTATCTAGGCCACGGGCATGTAGGCCTCCAAGTTGTTTATCTTCTGCCTCAACCTAGGCTGAATCCAGGCTGTTTGTGATGAAGCAGCTCGTTTGATTGACGGCTGCGACGGCTATTCCAGGACACGTAGAGGCGGGACATATTCTCACCTCGGCCAATGGAGGATTGGGATTACGTGGGTGTTGGCACAGAATGGTTAGTTTGAGGCTTTGTTTTGCTTTGCTGAGGATCTGTGATGAGTGCAGTGACTGGTGAGATACTGGTGACATTTATGGGTTTACTGGTGTTTTGTAATAGGCCATTTGTAATGTACACCACTCCGGTATACTCCGATGATTGTTTTGATGCGCACGCTTTTGCAAAACAAATGCATCCACCACGAAGTGGTGCAAAGATGTGCATGGAAGACATTTAGTAAGAAGCAGATAGTATTTGCGTCTTTGTGCAGGGTTGATGTTACAAAGCTCACCCTGCATTCATCACCTTTTATCTGTGCTTGATTTTAGTTATGAGTGCTCCTTTTAACAGGATAAAAACATCTGTGTTGTACCATACAGTTATCAGGCCATCATATGCCTCAAATGCAGGGTAGTTTAAAAAAATGCCTTCAAGCATGAAATACTGATTTTATTTGCTTTTATCATAAATAATTTGAAACCATATGTTATTGAAAGCAGTGCTTTTCATGAACAGGAGAAAAGGATCCTGGATAGCAAAGTAATTTTACCATTGAAGGAATGCTGGGATCAGAGCGAGCCAAACCTAATTACCCAAAAGCCTGTCCTGCAGTGCTGATAGTGAACTTGAGATTGATTTGAAAATATTTTAGACTCGACTGGTTTATTGGGGATCACCAGATTTAACTGTTTTGTTTGTTTGTTTTTTAAATTGTTTGTTTTTTTGAATTTTAACTTTGTTTGTTGCAATCTTGTGACTGCTTTAAGACCTTTAAACAGCTCTTCTTTCTGTATAGTTTCCAAATGATTCACGTTTATCTACGCCTTTCAAAGCAGGCCTGTCGTGGCAGGAGAAGAGGAGGTAGCTGAGTCGCATGAATTTTTGCCACAGTGGTATGCATTACGTTTGTCTGTGACAATCCAATTAATTCAGTTAAGTTTCACGTCTCGTTTTTTTCTTCCGATCACGTGCCCGCCAAGCACAATGACTCTCTGTCCTTCTCAAAGGCAGCCAGCCGCCCTGCAGTTTTGGAACTGCTGTGTTACCTGTAATCTTCTTGCAGGTATGACGTTGTGGACTAAAATCAAGCATCTGAAGTGAAGTAGGCGTCAGCCATCAGTGCTTATATATAGTGAAATGATTGATGTTTGTCAGATGCTGAATGCAAAGATTACTGAGCTGCAGGGTTAGTGAAAACACTGTCATAAGATTCAAGATTCAAAGTGTTTATTGTCATGTGTCACAAGAGAAAAGGCATTTCTTTGTGCAATGAAATTCTTTCTTTGCTGTCCACCCACAGATGCCAATTAATATATACAATAGAAATAGAACATATAAATACAAATAGTACAAATAAATAGCTGAAGACAGAAAAGGAGACAAAATATGGAGATTTGAAACAGACGTGTGCAAAAGAGCTATAGCTTAATATGCTGGCTTAATATATAAACATATTCAATTAAAAAAAAGTCTCTGAATCTTCCCATGTGAAGTTGCTGCGTTAGCTCTTTCCCGCATAAAGACGACATTTTTTTGCAGCTTTGAAAACCTTTAGGATTTGTATCTGGTTTTTCTGTGCTGCATAGGCAGAGACCATCCTCACTAACTTCTTGTGCAAACCCTGTCATTTTGTTCTATAAGCAGGCTTGAAATATGATAGAAACCTCTCAGTTCAGAAAAGCGAAACAAGAGTTAAGATCTGTTCACTGTGGAGGATGCTGTGGTAAAAGCTGCTCAGTGAACTGAAATCAGTCTCAAGATTTAAAAATCAAATCCTTGCTCATGCTGAAGTTTAAAAGAACAGTTTTTCATGGAGTTTGTAAAAAAACTGAACATTGTTTTTCTTAAAAATGCATGAAACTGATTTCCAGATATATAAGAGCAGAGAGAAAGAAATAGATAAACGTCTGTTGGTACATCCTTAATAAACACAGCTGCTTTTCTAATGTTGGTATATGTTTTAACATGGAAAATCTCAAGGTGTAAGATAGTTACCTAAATGTGAAAAGCAACTTAAAGTTATTAATATTTTTCTCTGTCAGAAGACAAACACTGTGATCATTTATCACTAGATGATTCCTCTGAATGGCTGACACATAATCAATAATTGCCAGCTCTGTGCCTGTACCACTTAGTCGTAAACTTATGTATAAATAAATAATCTCCAGCCTTTAAGCACAGTTGCCTGTCAGTGAGCGCTCATACCTAGTTTTCTTATACGACTTATGGATTGGTGACCTTTTCTGATATTTGCAGACTTCCTCACATGTCCGTGCTCAGAAACAGACTGCTGTCTCATGCTTGTTATCACTGTAGGGATCATGGGCTGACTGCTATCAGTAGGTAACTCATTCCAAATAAGACACTGCTGACTGGCCTACTTGGACCACGTCCAGTGTTGTGGAGAACGAGAGCTGTTTGCATGATAGCGCAGCTCATGATTTGAACTCAACACTCAACTCCCCCCTTTTTTTCTTTTTTTAACCCTCAGTGCACTGAACTAATAGGGAAGAGAGGAAACAAACACCACTGGGTTTTAAAAAAATGATTTTTTAAATGCTTTTTTCCACATATAAATGTCTGGAGCTTCAAAGTTAATGGTCGCTTTTGAACGCTACTTTCCCACAAATCTATAGATTTAGTCTCAGCACAGTGACACATGTTGCACTCTCACACTTATAGTCACGCTTTCTGTTTTGCTTTTAATTTTAGTAAATGGTTTTTGGTATTGAAAATGCAGCAGTTTCGCTATCGGCTCATTATTTGCTATCGTTTTAATCATTCAGTGCAGTGATGAGAAACGAGGAGCAGGTGTTGTTGTTACTTTTTAAAATTTCCTTTATTTAACCACAACTGTAATTATTGAAAATCGCCAAGGCCAAGATGGGTAGCAGGTCAATTGGCAGTGGCTACATACTCTAATAATGCACACATGAATACACAGCAAAGCACACAAAATAAATATACACACATAGGTGCGACACATACATTATAAACATTAAAAATAATGCAGCTTAAAACTTGAGAACATGTTTTAAATGTGGGGGAAACCTTTGAGAGAGGTTTAAAAAAATGATATCAGGGATCTTAAATATTACCCATAAATAACAGCTGGCATTAAGCAGATACACCAGCGTTATGATCAGTTTATGACTGCAAGGCTTACCTTGTTATGTTTGCTTCAGTCATGTGGCCTAGGTGGGTCTGTATGCTGCTTAAATGGGATGAGACATCTCAACATGTGTTATTGTTAAAAGGATATGCTGGCTTGGGCTACTCAGTGCACCACAGGTGTATAAACGGTGCAGGCCAGTGTCTCCATCTGATGGGATACATTTTTAAAATACTCAAATGCAAGGCCCTCTTTCTGAACTATGGCCAAAGTCTTCTTCTGAAACCTGAAAACAGAGCTGTGCCCAGATCAGGTGCAGAGTCAGATCGTCTGAATTACAACCTGCTAAAAGGTTGTTTTGGTATTTTGTTGACTTCACAAGCTTTAATAAATACTAACAGATCAGCTGAAAAATGTTGCATTCAGTGGTATTTTTCTGCTGGTTGACATTTATATCAATCACCCAGTGTTTGTTCATTGTACACAGAAACAAAGACAACTATTTTAAGCATTTTGTAGACAAGAAACCATAGATTTGCAGTGAAATAGCGCTATGACCAAATAAGCCAAAATTAGTTGCCAAGAGTTGTTATAGAGAACAACAATTCATATTGTAAAAATGGTGTAAAGCGTGTGAGCAGAATGATGCAGCCAGAGTGCATCCTAGCAGCATAATCAGAAGTCATTTACATTACTGATGGTGAGTGCTGTGTTTTATTACTTGGTCTGGATGGGTAAAAGCTGACCCTGAGTTCAGACTCAACCGAGATGTAAACATTATGCTGCAAAAGAATCTGACCTGTTGAGCGACTTTTTCTATCTTCATAGCAAGCCTTATAAAAGAAAGAAAGAAAATCTTTAATGTTCCCAAAAGCAGCCTTGGAGGAAAAACAGAAATGATTGAGCTCGTACAAGAATGCTGATATAAGCGGAGGTTGCTGTGGCCTTAAATAAAGCTCAGTCCTAAAGTACAACACCTAATGGAGGCGCTTTTATCTCTGAAGTCCAACCAAACAGAGAGAGGAATTCTTCTTCTGGGTTCTTGCAGCCTGCCACGGTCGGTCATAAATATCTGGCTCTGCATCACAGCCTGTGTCACCCACTGGGTAGTGAGTTGGATTAAACTGTGCTGCTGGAAAAGATTCAGTGCTACTTCGACTGGATAACGGTGGCTCATTTTCCACATGTTTTTGAGGACCTCTGGTTGTGGACACGGGCTTTCTGTTTCCCCTCTGTGATAGCAGCGAGTTTGGATTGATGCTGTTGTTATTGTTCAGGCCATATATGTCATCACTCTGCTTTTTTTTTCTAAACATGAAACCAGGAAGGAAGTGCACATCATGATATGGTAATAAGAGAATTTGTATTTCAGAGGAGGAGGAGCTTCCAAATGGGTGACCAAGGTGGTTAGTGTGTATGTGTGTGTGCAGAGACTTGTTTACTCACATGTGCATTGATGTTGGTGAAGGTGTTGCTTTTACAAATGCATTTGTCCCAGAGGCGTGCACGGCTGTGTATTTTTTTTTTTTTTTGCCCACTTCCTGTCTCTATGCAAAAGTGTGTATACATAGCTCAGGGGTGAGAAGTTCATTTGCAAGAGGAAGTGATGTTGTTATTTTGCTCAGAGAGGAGTGTGATTCGTGTGTGATATTGTGTTGACAGATTGCTGCTGGGGTCGTGTCTCCACGCAGACTCTCGTGTGTTTGCTATGCAAAAGCAGCAAAAGGACCAAAGATCAATCTAAATGTTGTCGTCGTTTGGTGATGCAAGAAAGTGAGCGAATGAAAAACAAGCAAAGAATGAACCAAGCTTGATGATGGTGACGGAGGTAATTAAAAAGGTTGCAGCTAAGCTTGATGTGCGGTTGACTCAGAACAGATCAGATTAACTGTGAGCGATTGCTTGGCAGCATTTGAGTTTGACAAAGAGGCTGCTTACCGAATGTTTGATGAGGACAGGGATCAGAAGGTGGCACAAATTTGGTAGAGCGTTGCTATCTACTTTTCGGTGCTTCGTTTATAGTCAAGAGTCATAGAGACTAATGATCTTTACCCACAATTTTTAGTATTTCATGTGTGTTTTTCTTGCTTGCATCAATTTTACGTCATGCATCATTTATGTCACAAAGTTATTTCAGTCTGCTGAATATTTTGGCTGTTGTTTGATGAAACAAAGCGAATTGTTTCTGTATACTTTATTTTGTCGTTTGCTTTAACATTACACAGTTTACCATCCTGCGGTTTCGTTTGAGAACAACAACCAAACACAGCAGCTGTGGTTAAAATCTACTTCTTTGTTTTCAACTCTTTTGATTTTAATACTTGCTCTCTGTGTGTTCTTCTAACCACAGACCTGAAGCTTACCAAGAACTGCACCAGACCACAACAGACCAGACCTGACCAGGTTGAGCCCAATTATTCACAGTCTCCCTCTCCCCCTCCCCTGCATCCACCAGCACTCTGCGATTGTTTCCCTCAGCATTAATTTATTGTGCTGATCGGACAACCTCACACCACTGGGACTGGACAGGAGACCCAGAGGTTCCCACCACTGGAGCTCTAAGCTGTGCCTGGCAATGCCTCAGGTAAGAGGTACGATAGGAGGAGGGGAAATTGTGCTGTCGCTGTTGTTGATTTGTTTTTTTCCATTAACCCATAAACCCACGAACAAAAAGTGACTTGATTTTTTTTTTATTTTTAAATGGTCTGAATGAACTCTCCACAAAAATCTGAGACAAAACTTCCTGTGAGCAAGTATGCAAAACACCTGTGGACAGACAGAATCGTAGATGTGAAACACGGTTCAGGGCTTGAAAGAGGAGAGTGACTGACCCCAGTGCTGTATGATGTCTGTAGACCCTGCATCCAAACAGCTGCTGAAGCCAGATGGGCTGACTGTGAGCGACTTTCTCAGTCCTTCTAAAAAAATAAGTGCAGAGTGCCAACTCTGAGCAGGCTTTAACATTTTTGTAATTCTCTGCGGTGCCGAATTAATAGCAACGTAGCAAAGTCAGCTCCCGGAAATGATGGTGTCAGCCTTGACAGTGTTTTTTTTTTTTTTTTTTTTTTCTGCTGTTCTTTTCTCCTGTTTTATTATTCATATTAGATACCACAGGGACTGTTTGTTTCTTAGGGTTTTGTGGTATCTTGCAAAATGTGCAAGTATGTTGTGATTGCAGCGCGTCTGTAGCTGCAATCTTATCAAATAATTCCCTCAGCTGTTAGAGTGAAGAACAGGAGATGCTGGTGGTTTGTTGGGCTGAGACACGTGTTTAACTTCAGCGCTAGAACAAAAATAACAACAGCAGCTCTGGAGTAATATCTATAGATGTTAACTTTATTGCAGATATATTAGTAATGGGTTTTATTTTAAATTGCAGGAGTGTTTTTACAGTATTTTCTATTGCTGATGGAAGTTTTTTTTTTTCCTTGATGATGATGGAAAAAATCAGACAGCTATCCATTATTTTGACATATTAGATCACTGATATACTGAGTGTAACATGATTTTTTTCTCATAACCTTTAACTACAATATATTATTCTCTGTCAAAGTCATGGAGCATGTCTGGGAGCATTACAGGGTAGCAGGTGCTGTTGCTTCCTGATGCACCTGTCAGTAGCCATGTTTGTGGGTTATACTGATTATTAATAAGATCGGTGTGCACACAGACACTTCCTCTGATGTTCCAATGGTGGTAAAATTATTCTCACTTTTCATGTCTGTTATGTCGTGTTTCGGTGTCCAGTGTGGCAGTAGAGGGGGAGCAGAATAAAATCACATATGAAAAGTTGTCTGTATGAGGGAGCGGATGGAAAAAAGCCTCCCATTCATGTATTTGATTATGCTTCAGTGCCCAGCTTAAGTTTGCTTAGTTTATAGTTGCGTGTTTGGGCACAATAGCTGCAGTGTTTTTGGTTGTTTTTTTTGTTTTTTTTGTGTGCTCTAAATGCAGAAAAAAATGTTATTTATTTATTTATTTGCTGTTGACATGAGACATGACTGCACAGTCAGTGCTTTATCTTTTCTTTTCTCTCTCATAAATGCACACTGCTTTCTGTTTTAGTTTTTAGTATTATTGTTTATTGAAATACATCTAATGATTATAGGAAGATTGAATGACAGATAATTGTATTGTGACTGATTATATTATGTAGGAATGATGAGATGCAGAGTCGGTCAGACTATTTAAGAAGTTGAGAAACAGCATGAACTCAATATAAAAGATGGACGTAGCCTTAGGATGTCTCCCGTTGGTTAGGCAAGACTCATCTCATTCAAGATCCCAAAAAGCTGATATTATGTAAAATATACAGAAAGAGTATTCAAGGATTTGGCAGTCATGTAAAACTTTATGATTAACAGTAAATGGTATGAACGCAATTTTATGCTATTAATTGTGAGGGGCAGCACATGGGGGCAACAATAGACTCACGATTGGGTATTTGGAAAAAAAGAAAAGAAAAGAAAAAGCGTATTTTTTTTAATTAAGGATAAGGAGGTGATCACCACTCTGTGAAAGACTGCGTGGGCAAATTGAGCATTTATTAGTGTCACATTGCAAAGACCTGGATAATGTAATCATGTACAGTACAAAATATCCCTAAAAGATTCAACAGATGATGTTGAAATCAAGGCAATATTGACTGGTGATGAGGGCAGGGATAGCTCAGTAGGTAGAGTGGTGGCCCCATGATCGGAAGGTCGGGGGTTTGATTCCCCCGAACAGCTACCCTGAGGTACCCCTGAGCAAGGTACCGTCCCTACACACTGCTCCCCGGGCGCCCAGTGGCTGCCCACTGCTTCACTGAGTGAATGGGTTAAATGCAGAGAGGGATTTTCCCCACGGGGACCAATAAAGTACACTTTCTTCTTCTTCTTCAGGCCTTCGGACAAACAAACAAACAAACAAACAAAACGGCAGACATGACTTTTTTAGTGCAAATCACAGCGTGAGCTAGGGAGCACTTCTGAAACCCACTGTCTGTGAACACTGCATCGATAAATGCCAGCCTGTTTTTGCACAGGTCAAATGCATTTGTGATGTGATGCATCTGGGAGGTGCATTGGTAACTTGCACTTCTGTGAAACCCTTTCAAATAAGACAATGTCAAACCGCATTCTGCACATATTCCAAGAGCACAGCTCCGTAGCAAAACAGTCCCGCTGGTAAACTGGTCTGTGTGCAGCAAATGATAGTTTCATCTATCTTTAGAAATTGAAGTCAGCTAAACTGTGAACTTACATAATTCAAATAACTGCACTCAAGTCGGATTTGTGTGTCCACTCAGCTGTTGTACAAACCTTGATCATAATGACACAAAAATACACACAGAAAACACCTGTAGCTTCCTCCGTCTAGCTTATAATAATTCCTGGCAGAATTGAAAGTATGGCACACAAAATGTAAAAATAATGGTAATAACTTTAGTTTTATAGCACTTCTATAGCACAGTTACAAAGTGCTTCACACTTTAGATAAAACCACACACTAAAGTCAAGTATACATGTTCAAACATATTGTCTTACATTCTTTCCTGCATGCACATGTTGAAAGAACGAGAAATATATGGGCGAAGGTCCTTTAAAAATGAGTTTTCATCAGTCGGTTAAAACAACCCACAGTCACAGAGCCGACAGGCTGAAGAAGGCTGTTCCACAGTTTAGGAGCTTTAACCTCAAAAGTGCGGTCACCTCTAAATTTTAACATAGGAGGATGAAATAGTTAAGAGACACTGATGAGATTATCGGAGAGGAATAAGGTCTCAGCAGCAGCTCTGCTGTATACACAGGGTCAAGGCTCACTAGAGCCGGTGAGAACAGCAAACTCCTGGCACATCGTTTTCAGACCCCACGCGGTCTTTCGCTACTCACATTAAACATGATATATAGGTCACTTAGATAACTTAAAAATGTTCTTGTTTGGCTTTTTTTCTGTGTTTTATTTGTTCCTCAGTAAATCGGTTTGGCTGAGATTAAAGTTATAGTTTTTACACAGCTGAATAAACATCAAACAGAAAACCGATTAAACAGAAGTGTGAAATGGTAGAGAATTTACTCCAATGTCCTGTTATATTTTAGATAGCAAGGAGCAACGGCCGAGTTTATTAAACTCCACCGAGACAATCTGCAAATTTCATTAAAAGTTTAATAAACTATCATCTTGTCTTTATTTTTGGTTGACACATACCTAAAACACTTCAGGCTGTAAGTTAATGATAGCTATATAAGAGCAGATGCATGCTGGTGCAATAAGCTGTACGTTTTACGTTCAATGGATGCATGCTCTGATTAGTCAACTAATCGACAAAAATAATCGGTGACTGTTCAACTACCAAAATAATTGTTTGTGGCAGCCCAACTGCACAGCAATTGTAGGAGATACCTTTGAAAAGAGTAACATAAAGAAAGAAGAACTGGACCAAGGATTGAGCCCTGAGGGACACCACATATGAGGGGCACTGATGAGGACATGTAGTTATTAATATGACTTCTGAAGTGTCTTTCAGATAGTAATGATTTAAAAAAAACACACATCTGATAATATGACAACAAACATTACAGAGCAATATTCTTTTAAACAATAATCTTTTAAAAACTGAGCAACATTAAAAGGAAGACAAAGGTTGAACTGAGTTTATCAGATTTTACTTGTGTTGCTGTGCATTGTTGTTTAATCAAGTGTTCCCCCCCCGTGTTTGTTGCAGCCCAGCGTCAGTGGGATGGAGCCTCCCTTTGGGGATGCCTTTCAGAACTACTCGATTGCTGACCAGGCTCTGACCAGCACTGAGCTGCTCGCCACCAGCTCTGACCCAGATTTCATGTACGAACTGGTGAGTAGACACACACAAAGACGTAAGACCTTGGTAACCATGCTTTGAATCCGGCTTCTTTTCGCATCAGTCACAGCTGCTCATGCTGAGCTGACACTGAGTTGCATCCAAATGAAGGATCCGAGTTTAAAGGTCAACAGCAGCAACTCAATATCGTCCCCCATCACAGTCACAACAGCTTTCTCAAATAAGAAGAAGTTATTTTACGGCAGTGAATGTGTGTATATACAGTTATATTGATTCTTGTTAAGTGCTACAGTTGCTCTAAAAGACTTATATATATTTGTCAAAAAAAATCAATATAAACACTGAAAGTCATCAAGATTATTCTAAACATACATACTCAAGTAGCTGAGCTGTAAACTAAGAAGGTTTTGATTGTGCTAAGCCACATTTATAGATTCGCCAGTGGAGACCCAGTCTCTGCCGGCGGGGCTTGATCAGACACAGCTGCTCAAGGGTCAGCTTGGCCCAAGCACCCCCACAAATATCAAAGATCAATATAAGGTTACACAGCACACTGTTTAAGGGGCCACAGAGCAGGAAAGCTGCAGGAAATCCAGTATCGTTCTTCTGATTAAAGGAAACCATATTATAAATGTTCCAATTCTTCTTTTTCTAACCTAACATTGACTTCAAGAAACCTTAGAAACCAAAGTTATTTCATCAGTTTAATTTCTCAATTCAGCATCTTTGCTTCGCTGGTCTTCTCCTGTAAACATTTCAAATTGTGCAACTTGTTTGACAATTTGTTAAATCTGTATGCGATGTCTAAATAGAAATCACTGGAACAGTCAAGCCAAACTGAATCAGGGCCTGTCATGTAGGGACTTTGCTGATCTGAAGTTGGTGGGTATAAATCGATTAATTTATTTTTCAGCCCGAGTTGTCTTTGACAAGAGTCCAGTGGCACAACAGTGTTACTGTGGTGAACTAATATGTCCCTAGGCTTTTAACATAACACATATAAACAAGCCAAAGTCATTTCCTGTGATGATTTTCACACAAATTATCAGCCTCGCAGTTGGTTAGTTACGGCTAGTTATTAATTGCAAACAGAAAAACAGGCAGGATATCATTTGGGATGAAACAGAAGGCACTTTGGTTTTCTGGGATGCTTCCGTAGAATGAAGCTATCATTCATGTGATAGATAATACCTGTCAAGCCATCTGCTGCAATGGCAAAAGGACTTCTTCGCCAAGATTCACAATTGAAAATATTGAGGTCGGATGTGATTCCTCACCATTTACAGGGATTATTTCAGTAATGGTGAGAAATCCTGAGGTTTATAGAAACGTTTAATGAATGCTGCCGTGGACTCGGCTTAACTTCCAGACTGGCGTTTATCGAAGCAGAGACTCGTGTCTAATTGTTTAGAAACTGTCTGACATTTGCCAGGCTCACAGGCAGGTGATATGAAGCACCGCTCATGTTGTCAGCTGCAGGTGTCTGCCTTAATTTACTGTCCTCTGTAGACTAAACAATAGTGATTGACTGCCTCACTCTCAATTTCTTTCACCCTAGTAACACATTAATGAGATGATGGTGTGCAGGATGACCTTCCATCTCCTTTAGTTAGTTTATTTATCATTTGGTGTGACACCCATTTATTATTAAAGCAGCACTAGTTAGTCAGGGTGCAGAGTTTTCTAAGCTATTCAGCACAGTGGGGTGTTTTTTCTTCTTTTCTTTAACAAGCGTATTGGAAATCCTGTCTGGGGCTGCGTCAGCATCTTCTGCCCTTTTATGCAATCCCAGACTGATTTCACAATGTTGACATCAGAGCTCTGTGGGGGTTGTACCATCTGTTGCAGGGCTCCCTGATCTTGGTCCTTTCATGCAGGTTCTTTATGGCTTTTGCTGTTTGGGACCGCTGTGTAGTGAATTTCCAGACAGTCAAACACCTGGTTGCTGGCATTATGTGGTGGCTTGTTATCATAAATGTCTTTTATAAAAGTTAACTAAATCATTCAATAATGAAATCTAAGCTAAGTAGAATTTCATACAACATCACCTACCCTACCACCTGCCTTGATCAGCTCTCTGTCTCTTTAAACACTTTGGAGGACTTTAAAGGTCTTTTTTTTTTAAACTCAACAAAGCATTTAATTGTTACAAAATCTCACACAAGGTCTAATCATCAGATAAAATGAAACGGTGGCACTTCATGTCCAATAGGTCAGCATGACTTCAATGTGAAATCTTCACTAGTCGGTGCCCTTGACTCAGTAACAGAAGAGGAGATTGTGGGAATATTTCACATTCAGTTAGATAGTGAAATGATGACACTGCATGGCTGAAGTTTAGGAGGAAGGTGGTTGGTGGTTTGATCTCTGGCTGCTCCAGTCTGCATGCCAAAGTATCCTTAGGCAAGATACTGAACCTCAATTTGTTCTCCGATGCTTTCATTGGAGTGTAAATGCATGACTGTTGGAAAAGCATTTAGGTAGAAAAAGGTGCTCATATGAATAAGGTATGTTGTATGAAGCACTTTGATTAGAGTAGGACCAGTCCATTTACCATGATCCTTTGTGTCTGGGACAAGGACACACACTCTAACTTTACAGATCATCCTATCCTATAACAGCTGCATGGAGGTAATTCTTTAATTTGCTGCTCTCTTCAGGACAGAGACATGAGCCACCAGCAGAGCCCCTGTGGGGACAGCATTGTGGGGGTCGGGGATGGAGGCAAGGAGGTTGAGGGTTGCGTGGACCAGCTAATGGGTCTGGGTGAATGTGAGACAGTCTGCAGCAGCTCGGCGTTCGAACAGTGGGACTCCTACTGGGAAGACCTCACCAGGTACTTATTATTTATTCATGTGTTGCAGCTTTTTTTTTTTTTTAGGCCATGTTAAACAACAACAACAAGTAACTGACACATAAAACTTTGACCTCTTAAACTCTGTGAAGCTGGCTTGGTTTGTAAATGAATAACTAGCAGATACTTTATATAGTGCTTTTCAAAGAGTCACAAAGTGCTTTACAAAATCCAATACAGAGCATACAAAGCCAGGCTTAAAAGCAGCAGAAAAATGGAGCAAATCACTGACTCTAAGAAAGAAGCGAAAACGAGAAGCCTTTAGCAACAGTTGAAAATGCATAGGTCACATATTACATGTGTCAACTTGAATATTGAAATCATACAGAAACACATCCAGTGTTTGATCAACAAAGTCCCGTAAAGTTGACTTGGTGGGTTTTTGTGTGTGTGATAGTTTCTTATAAATTATGTAATTTTAAATTTTTCTGTCTTTGCTTTGAACCATGTGGGTTAGCTGACGGAGCAGAAAGTGTTGAACTATTATGAGATGCATTAACATGTTGTTGATCTGGTTTATTTTTCATGTCATTTGCTGCTATTAAGATAGGCAGGCTTCCTGCATTTTTTAAAGTAACATTTAAAACCTGAAACTCACAGTTATGCTGTATTTTTAAACTATTATTTAGATATTTCACCATCATCTTACTGTGGTCACGCCAGGTTTGTAGTATGAGGAGGCTGTAGTGGGCCCCTGCTTTTTATAAGCTTGCGATTGATGATACGACTGATTTTAGTTAAATCTGGTTTTAGTTAAATCTGTTGTGACGTCTTTCAATGAGCCTCATGAGAAAGGTCAGAAGGCTTTGAAGGTTTGTACAGAAGTAGAACAGTAATTGTGAAGGCCTGTCCTTTTGGTCTCAAATAGACGCAGCAGATGAGGATTTGAAGCAGATAGTAGGTTAGCCGGGAGGCAGGAAGTGGTTTAAGAGGCCTGTAAACAACAAAGTAGCTGGCTGCCGCAGTCTCCTGGGGTCTCAGGTGATGCTCCGTCTGTCCTGCAGCTACCCTGATGTTTTGCTGCCAGAGTAGCTTGTGTACTCCCCTCCCCAATGTTGAGTGCAAACTGAGGGCAGACTACTGTCTCTGAAAAACAAAGTCCATTAAAACTGGGGTGGAATAGTGCTGGTTGTTGCAGGGTTTGAAAAATCTGCTGCATACAGACTTAGGTTTGGGTTGTGCCGAAGTGGAACAGAGGAAACTGCTGTATCTTTTTTTCCTAATGTGCAAACCATACTTTCCAGCTTTGACTAAGAATGTGTGTTTCGGCAACTTCAGATTAATTTTGTTATATTGTTGTGCTCTGGTGCACCAAAATAACGTTTGGTGCTTGCTGGTCTTACCAAACTATAGTTTTCTTCACCGCACTGAAAGTGCTGAGAGAGCCTCAGAGCTTCCTGTTTATATCTTGTGGCATGAAGAGGCTTCACTGTTATCACTGGTTTCTCACTGAAGTTACAAACTTTAAACTAAGTTAAAAGTAAAGTTGAAAAAGAAAGTTGAACAGTTACAGATTTTCTCTGAAATGTTCCAGCTTGGAAAAATGCATTTGTCTCAAGCTCTGCAAAGATAAAAGTGAAAGTGGAAGAATCACGCTGTGCTGTGCTGTTTAACTGCTATATGACTGGACCATTGCCATCATGTGACAGGCTGCCATTGCAGTTCTAAATAGAGACAAGTGCACTTCCACATTTAGCATCCCCTCTGTGGGGAAAACAGGTTTTCACTGCAAGTTGCAGTAAATGAATATTTCCATTACTGGTTTTGCTGAACATTTCCAATATTTCCCTTCAGTCAGTTACTCATCTTCAAGTTTCATATATAACAGCAGAGCATGAATGTTTAGCATGCTGAAATAGTGTTTCAGTAGTTTTTCATGAATAATAACTTGTAAATTCTAGTTTTTCTCTGATGATCATGTTGGTCGGCTGATTATTGTATTTGCAGGGTCATTTGCATGGTAAAAATGTGCATCAACAAGCTAGTATTCTAAAGATTTAACAAGCTTAGGTTATTCAAATGTAGACAAAAATAGGAAACAGCTGCAATGCAAAGATATAATGAAGATACTATGACAAGAAGGCGAAGGTTTCCACTGTTGCTAGTCTGTGTCTCTCTGTATTTCACAGATACACACGGCTGGCCAGCTGTGATATCTGGGGCACCAAAGAGGTGGACTTCCTGGGATTGGATGACTTCTCCAGTCCTTACCAGGACGAGGAGGTGATTGGTCGAACTCCGACGCTGGCTCAACTCAACAGTGAGGACTCACAGCCTGTGGGTGAGACGCTCTACCCTCCCGCTGACCTGAGCTTGCCCCAGACTCAGTCGTCCCAGCTTCCCTGTCACAGTAAGACTCTCCTGGTCCCCGGCCAAGGATCAGGCCCTGGCTCTGTTCAACCTTCACCAAGCTCCACATCCTCTTCCCGTCCTTCGCGCAGCCTTCTCCCAGACTTTCCTGAAGGCTCCCAAAGAGCAACCAGACCTGTTCCTTCCAGCACTGAGACTATGGCTAAGACTCAGAGCCACCTCAGTCTCACCCAGGACCATGGTCATGCTCAAATAAAGCCCATGGTGCGTGGAACCAAAATGGGAGCCCCAACTTCCTACAGCTCTGACTTTGTACGCAAGGCTAAAGTCCGTGTCAGTGCTGTACATAAGACCCAAGCGGACATGCCTCCCCAGACGGATTTTGAGAGGTCAGATCCCATTCTACCTCTCTCCCAGCCTCGAGATGAGAAAGCCTCTACTTCAGCAAGTGCCGCCTTAGTGGGACTACCTGGTGCTGCCGCCGCCAGCTGTTCGGGCGGCCTGGCGAGCTTTGAAAGGAGAGTAGAGGGGACAGCGAGGAGAGAGATGCCTGTAGGCAGGTCTGCCACTGTGCCTCAGCTGGTTGAGGCGAGCCAGGCTCTGGAGACCAGCACCTCTGGGCTGGTGATCAGCGATGGTGTTTGCAGCGGGGCTGGCAGTCTTTTGGTTGTTGAGGGTACGGAGAAGACCAAGGAAGAGGAGCACAACTACTCTCTCTTCATGACCCGCAGCAGACTGGGCAGCAGAGGCCACCCCCAGACAGAGGAGGAGGATGAGGAGGATGAGGAGGATGAGGAAGAGGCAGAGGAAGAGGAAGGAGATGGGTTGGAGCTAGAAGACGAAGACCACGATGAGGGTTTTGGCAGTGAGCATGAGCTGTCTGAGAATGAAGAGGAGGAAGAAGAGGAGGAGGACGAAGACTACGAAGCAGACAAGGACGATGACATGAGTGACGCCTTCTCTGAGCCAGGTAGCTACTCTCTATAAAAATGTCAGCTTGTCAACAAGTAATATGTTAACGATGCTTCAAAATAAATCTTGAATTTAAAATAGTTAAAGTGATTTTTATTACCTTTATTTTACCAGGTTGTCTGATTGAGATTACAATTTCTTTTAAAAGAGAGACCTGATCAAGATAGGAGCTGTACAACCCAAAACATTGAAAAAACTCTACACGTACAACATAAAATATAAATCCACAACAAATACCCATAACAAAAAGCATTAAAAAATTAAGTGGCTAAGAGTGAGGTCAAGTAATTTGGACATGTGAAAAGGCACGTGTGGTCCCATTTTCAGTAACTATAATCTCATTGAACGTATGAAAAAAATATGATACATTGCTACATTACAAGCAGATGATTACAGTATTGTGTTACTGGGTATTCGGTGTCACCACAATACTGAATACTCCATCCTTTTCTTTGTCTCTGTTTGTCTCTGTTGCATTAATTTCCTCCCCTTCCTTCTGTGTCTCTCTCGTCTGCCTCCGTCAGGCTGTGACATGGAGCTGATGGAGGACATTAAAGGGCTCACAGCAGGAGTCTCCAGCCGAAAGAGAGGAAAGCGCCGCTACTTCTGGGAGTACAGCGAGCAGCTCACCCCCTCCAAACAGGAACGCATGCTCAAGCCGTCCGAGTGGGACAGACACACGCTGCCTAGCAACCTGTACCAGAAGAACGGGCCTCTCCACGGTACTCACACATGCACAACTATATGCGCATGCAGGCATTATTAAAGTCTCGCTTTGAGCTTCAGTTTTATATGGAATTAAATAATCTTTTGCATTTAAGTGTTTCCGACATTTTATTTTACATGCCCAATATCGGCATAAAAATGATCGTATACGGCTTTTAGTGGATAATGCAGAGTGATCAGAGACAGGCTGGTTGGATCGGTTGGATTTTCCACAGCAGCAGCTGTGCACAGCATGTTGCAGTCATGCTACAGTTTGAGTAATCACACTGGAGTTATTAAATAAATTAAAGATGTATATTTTATTTCACACATTAAAGGACTCCTCTGTTTGCAGCAATGCAGCAAACTATTTGTCTTGTATCCATATTCTTATTTATTCAGTGTTGTAAAGGGAGTTCTTTAAGTTGAATAAAATGACTCATGTTGGATTTTGATCATCATAGTTTCAGGCTTTTAAAAGTTAAGGTCATTGTCAAAAAGTTGCTGTTTGATGATTAATAATTAGGTTATTAATGCATCCCCACACCTGTCAGACCCACTGCAGGTTACCAGCTGTTGGTGCGTAGAAAATCTTTATTTAAAACTAGGGCTGTGCTATATGACCAAAATCTCATATCCCAACATCTATCGTCCCGATAACGATATAAATCACAAAAATGTAACATTTTCTGTAAATTATGTGAATCTCAGGCAGCTCCACTTGCGTGAAGTGTTTCCAGCTGGGCGTCGTGTACCTGTAGTCGAATGTTTGAAAGTAGTCGATGCATGAAACGATACATTTTTACACATAAGTTGTAACGGCCGCCGTTTTCTTTGTGAGTATTTATTACACGGCGTGCTGCGGAGAAAAGCCTGTTCTAACGTTTGACTCTAAGGTTTATTTTTTAGCACCTGACATCTCTTTTTTTACTTCTAATCCGTAAACACTCTGCATACTCTTTCGCGTGATTCAGTTTATTTTGAAAGGTCTCAACAGGATCTTGAGCTTTATTGTGAAAGGTTTATGTGTAGTGATGATCCACAATTCTGCAGCAGTCACTTCACTGACATTGTCAAGGATGTTATATCAACATACTCCATTAGAGCTCGACAAAAAATAAAGACAACATCTAATTTGCCCTGGTTAAACAAAGAGTGCAAGAATTTAATGAAAACAAGAGATCAATTACTAAAGCAGTT